ATACTTTCTAGTTTTAGAAACCGTCGAGAGTACCTTGCTATCTAATTTAGTTTTCGAGATATGAGCCTGAACCTTTATCCGCTAATGGTGAAACACGCTGTAGAATCACCAGGGAATAAAATATTATTTAACTATACTAATTGTGTTTGAAATTAAAAATTCTATGTTAATGAATCAAAATACTTTTTCAATTAGATTTATTATTATGAAATAATCTGTTAAGTAGAGTAAATGTTTTATTGTTATATTATTTAATGAAATTATTTTAGCTAGGTATTAACAAAATCGTGCCTTTATATTAAGATAATTTTTATAATAAACTAATTTTGAACTTTTTAACTCAATTTATTTAAATGTTACATAAAAAGTTTTATTTTACTTTCAAATCTATTCGTTAAGAAAGCTTTTGTAATTCACATGATTTATTTCATTCATATGATATCGGATAGCATTATATTAAGTAAACAAGTCAATCATTTCTGTTGAAAAGTAATATAAATTTCAAACTAAAACTGATTGCATTTACATAATCATAATTAGACACTTGAAATATTTGAGATTATATTGTTTGTATGAATTAACAAGAACCAAGGCCATATTATTATACCTTAATAAATATATACTACAATAGTATAAATGTTTTATTGCTATATTAATTTATTTAACGCAATTAATTTAGTTATACCTTGTGATAATATTATTGTTACATAATAAACCATCAATTATATCAACAATATACGGTTGCAAATGCAACGTATACTTTTTCAATTTATTTTGTTATAAACAAAACACTTTAAATTTTGAGATAATCAGCTATTTTATATATTATCAAACATTTTATTAACCAGAATAAAGGTCATATGTAACGGTTGAGTTTACATCTAATTTTTCAGCGTATCGGTACTTGGTTGTATTGCCATAGTTGCTTATTATTTGTATAAACATTCAATTTTTTAATTAAAAAATTATTTTTGATTTTGTTTAATAAATGTTTAATTGTTTAAAGTTTGTATTTTCAATTATATTTTAATCGACTTTGAATAAAATTTAATACTTATCAAATGTATTATTTGATTTATTATATTTGCTGAACAAAACTTTAATATTAATACACCATGAACATTTATCTGATTGTTAAAATACTATATATTTATTATAGGTAATAATATTTTAGCTTATCAACATAATATATTATTTTTGAGCAAATGTCATTTAAATAGTAAAATATAATATGCTAGATAAATATGACAATTTATATCATAAACATTAAGTTTTCAATATTAACAACATAGGTATAAACTCTGAATTTTATTTGCAAAGTTAATTCAGAATTTATTATAAAAATTCCTATTATAATAAAAAAATTTAAAAAATAGAAATATTTAAAAATATATTTTTTGAAATAATAATTAAATTTAATTAATTAAATTCTGTTTAAGTGGGGAACATCGTGACCTGTAACTCATTTCTTCACTATATTAATGTAATATTAATCTTGACATTATCACGGCAATCAAAGTTACGAAATGCTGCTTTAATATTATGGGTTATTCTCAGTGCATAGAAATAATAATATATATCAACAACAAATTTAACATTGTCTTGTTGTTCGAAATCAATTGTTATTGATTTTTCGCCAAGGAAATTTAAGTTTGAAAAGGCAGAAAAATCTCATTTGTGTAAAAGTTGATTAAAACTGATATAAAAGTTAGAGATCATTGTCATGAGTAGAGTATTTTTGGGGATTCTAGGAGTCCCCCCTCCCCCCTAAAAAAACCATCAAAAACAACCAATTTTTAACAAAGCCAAAACATCATAATCACCCAAAAACAACCAAAAATCAACAAAATCAAACTAACAAAAAAACCGTCAAAAACTCCATAGGACACAATGTTCCTCCAGCCCTCCTCCCTAAAAAAGCATCCAAAACAGCCACTTTTTAACAAAGCCAAAATCACCTCCTCCCTAAAAAACCAACAAAAACACCCAAACCCAAAACACAGTAATTTTTCAATACATTTAATTTTAAAGTCAAAACGCTTTTAACGCCGCAAAACAAAAACCATTTAACATAATTAGTATATGCGATAATCCTGGTTATGTTTTTCTTCCTTAACGATAAATGATTTAGGTTCGATTTCTTTAATTTTTATTTCAGTAACATCTCAAAATCCACGTATTACCCAGCAAACTCGATTAAAATTGTCAAAAATAAGCAGTTTTTTAACTCCAAATTCAACGTCCCCAAAACTGGCCGCTTCAACCCACCTCCCTTACTTCTTTTTTCTCTTTTTCGATTTTAACGAATTTTAGGAACACAAAGTACTCAAAAACCTGATTTTTTCAAAGAATTAAAAAATAGACTAGCTCTGTACATATGTTTAAAAATAATTGATTCACGGAAATTGATTTGAGAAAGTAAATTGCCAATTTATTGAATTATCACTTATTATAACAAAGAATTTTATTCAACAGTTATATTTGTGTTGTATTAATTGGTCACGCTGTTTGTAGATTAGTTGCCGATTGTATGTGGGATTCGTTCATTAGGTGTACTTGACCGTACTCATTCCAACAAACGATACAAATAACTACTATAACTCCACTTCCCAAAAGCCATGTCACCTTACCCTCCGCGTTCACCTTCATTGTGCCAGTCCTTAGGCCAATTTCAATTGACATCTTGGAGGGGGGCATGACGAAACTAGTGATATATCAATGAAATCTATTCAATGAAAAATAAAATCAAGTCAGGAATCATTATCCAATGTCAGAATTATTACCAGTTTCCTAAAAAAATTTTTCTCACGACAAATCCTACTTATCTCAATTATAACTACACTTACCAGAGATCCCAAAAACTTGAAAACGGTTTACGAACGACGCCTTTTTCTTAAGACGAACAACGAAAAACCAACGTTAAAATAAAAGTTATCCCTTTTAACTGCAATAAAATGCAACATGATTTCATAAACTCCATAGTAATAATCATTTTCTATAGAAATCCGTTGTTTTTATATACTCTTTAAGCAGAGATTGGAATAGCTGTTCACTTTATCATATTTCACATATTTTGGTGCAATAGTTATAAAAAGATAAATAAGCTTTTTTAACTCAATGTCGAAATCAACACAATCAACTCAACAAACATCCAAAACGTTTTAGACCCAAGCATAAAGAATAAGGTATAGTAACATCAAATCAAAAAGGATTGTAATACCACATAATACAGAAACCTAAACTCTTAGTCTTGTTTTCGACAGAAAGTAATCTAACTTTTGCATCGGCGTCATATATTAATTCTTTTGTTAACATTTAAAGATAGCGTATCTAATAAAATTCTTTTAGATCTTTATTATTGTTTCTAATAACAGGATGTTTATGTAGCAATTTCTGGATTTTTAGCAATAGATATTAAAATCATAAGTTAAGTCATTATTTAAATGGAAATATAAACAGAATATCTTGAGGATTACACTTATAAAATTGATAAATTATTAAACCATAGCAATAATCAGAAAATAATATCTATTCTTATATTGCTTTTAATTTTTGTGTTTATCTTTTCATTCGGGTGCGGGTCTATTGACCTAATAACCAATTGACCTAATATTGACAAATTGATCTAATGACCAATTGACCTAAAATTGACCTAAAGTAAAGAAAAATAAATTTAGAGAACTTCTCGTAGAGTTAATGTATTTCTATGAGGATTCCGATGTTTTTGGACACACCTCCTAACTTCTCGTAGAGTTATTGTATTTCTATGGGGATTTCGATGTTTCTTGACACAACCCTGATCTTCTCGTAGACTTAATGTATTTCTATAAGGTTTGTGATAACTTTTGAACTATAATAGATAGAGGGGTGCTGTAATGGAGTGATTTGATCTATAGAAAGTGAAGGTATTAATTATCACCTCAGCGGTTCCAGGTCATCGTACGATGTCGAGTGATACATCGTTGGAATCAGCTCGATGAGTTGAAAAAGAAAATCACTTCTTGAGCTAGATCTGATAATATTCCTCCATGGTAAATAGAAGATAATTACTTTAAAATCAGCCA